TAATCTCCTTCCAGCAGTGACCTCTGTTCTGTGCACAGTGACAATGAGTGTAACCAGACACAGAGCTCTCAGGTGTAGGAGGCAGGCCAACAGCCACAGCACCACTCACCTCTCTCCTCTTGCCTCTGGCAGACCCACTGGAGGTCAATCTCCCCCAACTGAAGCACATGTGCTAGGAGTGGAGGATGGTCAGCATCAGGCCCACAGGGGGCTCCTCTTCAGAGCTGCATTCCCAGTTCACCTCTTTGTTTCTTTCCCAAAGAAGGGATTAGGTCTGGAGCCTGGGCACCTGGAATGTTCCTGCAAGCATGCCTCTCACCTGGCCCACACCCCCACGCTCTGGTTACCTATTTACTGTCTAGGCCTCTAGAGCCCCATCTGTCCTAGAACTGCTGGCTTTAAGCTGGACGGTCCTTGGCAATTTTTTGGTCCTGACCCTCTCAGGAACAGAGGAATCCCTGCTTGGGATTCAACCCTCCACATGAGCTGGATGCCCTAAACAAAGGAGGATCACAGGAGGAGAAGCCACTCTGATCTAGTATACGAGATGGGTTACAAATGGATTCATTCAATCCATATTTTGGAGGGCCACATGGCGCCAGAATTTAGTGCCAACCAGACATGGCCCCTTTGCTCCTGAAGCTGTCTAGTGGTGAAAATAGAAATGGATCAAGTAATTAAAGTACAGTGCTGTTTACCAAAAGGGAATATACACAGGGGTCCCAAGCCTTGGGAGGGTATAGTCGGGGAAGCCTTCCCAAGGAAATGGCATTTAAACAGAAAGCAAGAGAGTATTTTTCTCATTTGCCTCTTCACCCAGAGCCTAGTACAGAGCTGGCACATGGGAGTATGCAGTAAATGTTTATTGAAGAAATAAACTAGGAAACGAACAAATATCTCCACATGTCCTGAGAGCCCTTGGTTACTAACAGCATTTGGTGATGGGTCTGGTAATGTATCCATTTACCAAAAAAATCTAACTAAACTTAAATTCGTGAGTCCTCATGAATCTATTCATGATATGGATGCGCTGCGTGCTGTTCATGCCGTTTTAGAGGTGAGTTTGCTGGGTCACAACTAGGGAAGATGATACCCCTGAGATCCCACAGGGAGTCTTCCGGACCCACCCCTTTCCCCGACAGATCACACCATGGAGAACTCCATAAATGGACTCATTAAAGCAGGGAAGGTCAGCCTCTTGACAGGTGATTGGATTTAGATATGAAAGCAGAGATGGGTTAAACTCCTGTGCCCAGATGTCCTAACCACAGACCAAAGCTCAAAAGAAGACAAGGGGAGACTAGTGCCATGAGCCTATCCTCTCTTTCTCAGAAGACTGTAAAGCGTTCTTGGAAATGACCATAAAGCATCCAAATGAGCAAATCCAAGGCCGTTTGCTGCCAGGTTTCCCGGCAGGATTGTGGGCAGACTGACCAGCTGTTCCATCCCCCAGAACTGTCTTAACTTCAAAGACTGGGTTCTCTGTCCCTGAAAAAGTGCCCCTACTACACATACCCTGAAAGTCTCCCAGACCTCCAAACATACCCACGTTAGGTGTTGCTCTTGGGCCTCGGGAAACCTGTCTCTAACGTACGGCAAGGAGTACCCCCTCCCCATCCCCCTCCAGCAGACACATCTCCAAGAAAAGAAACCGGACCTAGTGACCCTGCTGATGTGGGTAGAGGCAGGGCCACCATGTGGAGCCATGCAGGCTGTTCATGGCACAAGACGGTGAGTGGGGACTGCAATCCAGCCCTCGCTCTGCTGGCCATGATGTCCCCCCGGCATGGCTGCCTCCACACAGAGGAACGGGTGCTTTTTTTTTGTCTGCACAGAGATGCGTGTGAGCTAGCAGTGACCCTGGGTGGAGAGCCCAAAGAATTACATCTGGGGAGGAAAATAAGCCAATCCTTCCCTTGCCACCACCTAAATAGTCCAGCCAGGTGTTCCTCAAGTGGCCAGATATGCTACTTGGACAGACTTCTTAGAAGGTAATAGAATATGATGGATAAAGCAGTAGGCCCAATAAGGCTTTCTGTTTTATTTTTCTATGTCCTGAATTCAGATGACAGTGAAAACTGAACTATTGAGATGTACTAAGGAAGGATCAAATGCCTTATTTCTGTTAAACTACTTTAAGGAGAGTGAAGATTTACAGGAAGTATATCCCCTCTGTGTTGGAAACACCAGGGGTTTAGAATCTTTCCCAGACACTGGGCTCTAGCTTCACTTACTTGGAGCCTGTTGGTCAGGAAGTACGGCCTGAGAGATGAGGTAAAGTGGGCATTTTCTCAGAAAAACGACCCTCCCTATGGAGGGCCCGGCTTCTCACCAGAGAACATACTCCATGCTCAGAATGATTAGCTGACAATGTCGTCTGAATGGTGGCATAACACCTGTGTTATGGGAAAAGGACTGCGATTCGAGCAAATGCTTGGTTGCTACAGGAGAATGGGCTGTGGTCCCTCGCTGATTTCTTTACATCACAGGGACGTGTCACAAAAGTAACTCATACCTGTGGGCAGAGGCAGCTGCCCTATCTCAGAAATGCTTTCCCAGCATGGTATCCTGTGGTATCTGCCCATCTGCCCAGTCTTCCTGGAGGCTAGAAAACAAGCTATGGGCATGGAGCTAAGTGCTTGTTTTGCCAACAGGGTCTCATCAAATCCCCATACAACCCTGAGATGAAGCACTTATTTTTACTGATGGTGAAGGGGTTCAGAGAGATTAAGCAACTTGCCCAAGATCACACAGCCAGTAAGTTCTGGTGAAGCCAGGACTTGAACCCAGATCATGTGGCTTTTGTGCCCACACCCATTACCACCTCCACAGCACGGGGATTTCCGGGCCCTTAAATGAAGTCAGAGGGCTAAGCTGTAATGAGGGGGGAAGATACAGCTCCCCTGATTACACAGGTGACATGATCTGAGATACAGGTGACATGATCTGAGATACAACTCCCCCAGAAGATGTTTTACCTGGAAGCAGGGGCTGCCTCCTACTATGTGCCCAGTGCCTGGAGCCAAGCTTGACTACAGGTGAATGTTTATTGAAGGGATAAAGAAATTTCTCCTGAGCTGCCCTTGCCCTGCCTTGCTCCTCTCTCTCTCACAAGCTCTGAGTGTGCCCTGGGTTTAGCAGGGCCCCTGAGCAGACACCAGGTTCTACACAAGCTGACCCGCATCTCCGCCACTGACCTTGGCTGGCATGGCTTAAACACACACGTCCAGTGATGGACAGCTGGGGGAGGCCTTGAACATGTGGAAGTGTCCTTCACACGATGGGCTCTCAGCTGTTCCTGGGAGCACCACTAATGAGTCCTGGGGGCTTGCACTCTCGTGGGGTCTCCTTCCACCCGCACAGTTACAAACCCCCTCTGGTTCCCAGAGCCGTCACACGTGTCCTCTCTCTGGTTCTAAAGCCTCCAGAGGGACAAATCCAATCAGGAGATTTGTAACTGCCCCCTTGGCCCTGATCTCCTTCTCTTGAGTGGCCCGAGTGTTGGTGGGGTTCAGACTCCCGCATGGTGTGGCTAGCCCCTAGGTGGGCCCAGGCAGCAGGGACATAAGGTATCAGGTATTAAATGTCAAAGATCAGAAGCCAAGTCACTTAAGCACCTTGAAATCCTGTTCCAGCAGTTATTCTCCATGTGTATCCACTAGAGCAGCCTGATGAATCTGTCAGTACCAGGGAGGATAAGAATCAAACAAGACAGGGCCCTACCCTCAGGGTGTCCCCCATCCCACGGAGGAGCTGAGTACACACGCAACAATCAGCAGCAGCACAAGGTTTGTGGGCTGTGGGCCGGGCACAGCTCAGAAAGAACAGCTGGTGTTGGGGGTACCGAGGGGGAGAGAAAGAAAAATAGAGCCCCTCAAAGTGACTACGTTGTCAGAAGTTCCTCTCCTCTCCTTTCTCTCCCCACCCAGCATTGCATTCCTGTTCAATTACCTATTGCTACGTAACAGAACGCCCTAAAACGTAGTACCTTAAAACAACTCACTATTCTCTTATACCTGTGCTGACCGGGCTCAGCTAGCTGGTTCTCACTCAGGATCTCTTGCAGTTACAGTCACCCGGTCGCTAGGGCTGGAGTGCCCCCAAAGTTCTACTGAGCTGCACAGCCAAGTGGATGCCATTCATTCACAAGGCTGGCAGTGATGTGAATCTTGGTGGAGAGCTCAGCTGGGGTTCTTGATGAGAGCACCTATTTCCAGCCTCTTTGCGTGGCTTGGACTTCTTACTGGATGGTAGCTGGTTTTTAGAGCAAGTGTCCCAGGACTAAAGCTTCTAAAAGACCCAGACAGATATCACAAAGCTTCTGATAACCAAACCTTGGAAGTTCCAGAATGTAACCTACTGTATTCTGTTGGTCAAGCCAGTCACTATGGCTATCCCAGTTTGGAGAGGTGAGAAGCAGCACATAAACATCAGGAGGGAAAGACTGGGGGCTACCAATTTGGAGACTGTCTACCACAACTTCCTTTATTGAGCTTGGAGAGGGAGAGGAAATAAGCTATGGACTGGGGAAGCCAAAAGGAAAACTACTTTGTCCCTCTGTCCAGAAGAAGGTACTTTTTTTTGTACTTTTTTTAAAATTTAAATTCAATTAGGGGCGCCTGGGTGGCTCAGCCGGTTGGGCGTCTGCCTTCGGCTCAGGTCATGATCCCAGGGTCCTGGGATCGGGCCCCGCGTCGGGCTCCCTGCTCCGCAGGAAGCCTGCTTCTCCCTCTCCCACTCCCCCTGCTCGTGTTCCCTCTCTCACTGTGTCTCTCTCTGTCAAATAAATAAATAAAATCTTTAAAAAAAAAAAATTTAAATTCAATTAGCCAACATATAGTACATCATTCGTTTCAGATTAGAAGTACTTCTTTCTCCAAGTCCTTCCTCACATTATTCTCTTAACTCACATCCCAAGGTACATTCTTAGACTATGTCCTATGCCCAGAATTCTGGGCCAGAATGTGGAAGAGAGTGGAAAAAAACCATATACATCATCCTCATTTGAGAATGAATTTGTTACATGACAGTTGCCAAAAAATTGCTTATCTGCCCAGCGTGGACTTCAAGGGACACGCTCTGGTGCCTATGACACCCCAGCAGTGGTTGCCCTGGAGACCCGGAAGTCAAGGATGGTGAGGGAGCTTCTTGCCAAGATGACCTCACATGGAAATCTCCGCTTTCTTGTGACCACCTGGTCATGAAGCTATGAAGGAAAGAGAAAGAGCCATAAATTCCTCAGATGTATGGACACAGGCAGAGCAGAGTAAGCTGATGCAGAGTCCTAGCACACACATCATGAGATGTCCTTCCCTTCCCCCTGACTTGCTTTGTTGGGGGCTGTCCCTCTAACCTTGGGCCCAGGAGATTTGTTTGGAAGGCTGCAGAATCACCTGGAGGTTTGAGACTGCCCTTCCCATTCATCTGGATAATTCAAGCATAATAACTCACTTCTAAATCTGCAGTTAACTTCCCCAGCCTCTGCCTGCCACTCCTCATTACATACCAGGGGAAGGTGATCATTGCTAGTATAAAGCAGGATGGAGTACTTTGCACATCCCATCCCCAAATCACTCCTAGTCTATACTACTGGAGAGACCTCTTCAATCTCCTCCCCCAACACAACAAAATGTGCTTAATAACTCTTTCCTTCCTTCCCCTCCCTCCCTCCCTCCCTTCCTTCCTTCCCCCTCCCTCCTTCCCTCTGTCTTTCTATAAGAAACTCTAGTGCATAGATGAGATTAATTATATTCCTTAGTTCATGACCCAATCTCATCTTTGTACCATGCACACTCTACCTCTATTTAGTTATTTTTAAAAATAAACACCGTCCAGCCCACCACCCCAAACAAAAGTCAGAACCTTGACAATAACCAACATATCTTCCAAATCCCAAGTGACTGTAAACAGGAAAACGAAGCAGCCAATCACCCAGCATACACAAGACAGAAGAAGCTAGTCCTTTAAAAAAGTTTCACTGGCGTCCGAAGAAGGCATCTTTTCGAAATGCCTCGATTTTTACACTGCCCAAGTGTCCCATTAAATCCCGCTCATTTAAAATCTGGGTTCCCAACTGGTATATCATTTTATTTTAATGATCTGTGCTTCCTATAGAAACATGGAAAATGACTATTTCTTTTTTCAATTAAACGTGTAACGGGCAGCAGATGAAAGGCAGCGTCTCCTTCAGCCTGCGCCCCGGGGAGCGGCCCGCAAGGGGTTAACACAGGCCCGGGCGGACCCTGGTGGAAAACTCTGGGTAACCCGAGCGCGGCCGGCCCGCCTCGCGCATGCGCCGAGCACCCCTCGCGCTGCCCGCTCCCCGCTCCCGGCTGTCTCTGTGCACAAAGGCCTGCTTTGTTCCCTCAGCTCTGTTTTAAATATCTGACGACTGTTTCCCCCCCCCCGCCCCCCAATCCCTGCGCCAAATCCCCGGGCCTGGCTGCAGGCGCGGCACAAGGGCGCATTGTGGGGCCGAGCGAGGGGCGAAGGGGGCTGGGGGCGGCCGGCCCGTTGGGGACGCTCTTGTTTCGCCAAGTTGACTCAGCCATTTCGGTCGCCCGGGCTGCGTCTTGGGGGTGGGTGCAGAGGCTTTGGGGGGTCCCCAACAGTAAGAATCAGAAAATGGGGACCCTGAGGGTGAACAGAAGCATTTCCAAAGCGCGCCGGGAAGGAGGTGCTGAAGTTCAGCCGAGCACCAGTCCCCGGGCAGCCAGGGGGGTGCGAACCCGCGAAGTCAGACGCTTGGTTTCAGTCCGGCGCTGTGCATTTAGAAAGTGCCTATCACTCAGTCACTTTGAAAAGTGTGGCACTCGGGCGGGCGCAAACCTACCCGAACGGGGGGAGGTGTGTGTGAGCTGTGGAATCCTTCCTTCCCGCAAGTTTGGGGCCCCAAGGGGCGCTGCAGAAAGGACATCACCCCGGGCTTTCTGCATCCACAGCTTTCTGGCCCTCTTGCTGCCAGGTTTTAGGAATGGGCCCTCGGGGAAATCACACCTTCCCTGGTTTGGCCCCTCCCTCTCAAGGGTAGGTAGGTGAGGACTGGGATGAGGTTCAAACAAAAGTAGGCTTTCAGCTCGCTGGAGAGCTGGCTCTGCCCCTGCGCCCTCCCTCCCCTTGTCCTGCTGGCATTCCCCGCAGACTCCCAGGTAGTTTTCCTTCCCAGCTCAGGTGTTTGTTTACCAGCACTGCGGAGGAGGAGGAGGAGGAGGCCTTGCACTGGGAAGGTTTGCAACAGAAAAATCACAAACCCCACCTCTCCGTCCCATTTTCTTTAAGGGTAGGGGGACACTGCCTTTCAGACTAGGTCTCGCAAACTTCAAGCAAAACACAAAATGTGGGCCTTAGCACACATTTTCTTCTTTTCGCTTGTAACCAAAGCCTCCGTACCCCTCAGAATCTTGAAGGGAAATTGTGAACCTTCCACCAGGGCAGGTGAAGGAGGAGGAACTGGCTTGGGAGGATTTGATTCAGAAGCAAAGGACTTCGTAATTTTGTTGTGTTCTAGGCCTGATTGGGAGCCCCCGAATCCTCCCTCGTGGTTTGTTATAAATCTGAGGGTTGACTTACATTGCCTTGGTCACATTTCTAGTTGCGAAGACCATAAATATTTCCCGAGATGTTTTTTTTTTTTTTTTTAAGATTTTATTTATTTGACAGAGAGAGACACAGCGAGAGAGTTGGAACACAAGCAGGGGGAGTGGGAGAGGGAGAAGCAGGCTTCCCGCTGAGCAGGGAGCCTGATGCGGGGCTCGATCCCAGGACCCTGGGATCATGACCTGAGCCGAAGGCAGACGCTTAACGACTGAGCCACCCAGGCGCCCCCCGAGATGTGTTTTTTAAAATCACACTTTGATTCACATTTCACTTGTTGTCTCAACTCACCAGTACAGTGAGTATTCGAGCTGAGAGCTCATACAGACCAACCTTCTTATTTTGCAAATGAGGGAAACTGCCCAGAACCACTCAGAAAGACAGGGTTGAGGGGGGCCTGGAGGCCAGGTCTCCTATGTCCACGACTGGATTCTTTAACTTCTAATGTGCTAGTTGGCAAGGAATGAAGACCAGGTTTTCACTTACCACTTCCTCACAAATCCTTCCCACATAAAGGATTCTGATTCAGGAGCCAGGCGCTTTGAGGAAAGGTTCTTGGTATTCACACAGCTCTGTGGAGAGATGAAGAGTCTCTTCTCAGTATATCCCTCAGAACTGCTGAGTGTGTGCTAGGACCACACTCCACACTCGCTACAAGCTTAGAGACCTAAGTCACGTTCAGCTGCCAGGGTTGCTAAGTGGCAGAGAAATCCTGGCTGCCTGTTTCCAGGCACCCTTCCGTCTTCTTAGGAATTTCTTCAAGCTAACACTAAGTGTCCTTTCGCCACTCTGTTGGCCAGTAAGCCCCCTATCTCTGGAGATGATAACAGCCCCCAGCCCCCGCTGCCTGCAGATCAGCCTGCAGCTGAGTTGTTTGGGAAAGTGTTACCTAGAATTGACTTCTCTCTGCGATGAGTGTGCAGAATAGGAAAATGGGATGGTGGTCCCTACAACCCCTCTTCCCTCACGCACACACACCTGCAGACTCAGAGATGTTGGAAGGTGTACCGGAGCATGTCTGTGATACGATACAACCTGCTTGGAGAAGAGCCATCAGCAACAGTCCCATTGCGTGGCAGTGCCTTTACATCTGGGCAGGAGGTAGCAGGATTTATACCCACGGAGCGCCAGAGGATGGGATCACTGTAGACCACCTTCCGCTTGTACCTTTCACTCTGGCCCACCCTTCTTTTTCATACATTCTACACTGACCTATATACAGCACCCCAACCCCTTGCACCAGCCAACCACTGATTTGAAGCTCTCCCACGTTGGCAGATGAACTCACATTTCAAGCCATCACGTGGGAATGCTGCCTGGCGGCCAAGGGTTTGGTTTCAGCAGCATCACCTTTTGACTGTTCAGCAGTGTTTGTGCGAGTATTTGAATATGTTACTGCATTTTGACCTTGTTATTTTATAAGAACAAGTGGAAAATGGAAAAATGAAGTGCTGATGCTGGTGATAAGAAAGGCAGGTCTCCTAAACTTAATATAATTGAGACAGAGATGGAAATCATTAGGCGCGCCACAAGAATACGTGGCCTCCATCAAACGTTCCCTGGATTTCAGCCAGTCGCCTGTGTGTTCAATTGTGAAGGAGAATAATAAATTAGAGAGCATATAGGACATTCCGTACCTAACATGGTCAAAGATTGGATCGAAAGGTGAGGTGTGATTCGGAATTTGCCATGTTCCCCCAGTTCTAAAGCTGCATTGATTTAATGACAGTGTTTCAGAGCAAGGGTGAGGGTGATGCTGTGAGACTGGAAATCAAGAAAGTACAGTGATAATATTGTTCGGCCCCCTGGGAACGGAACCCTCCCTTATAGCTTTCAAATGCTCGCTTTGCCTCTTGCATGTCAGACCGGCAAATTTTCAGGAAAGCTTTAGGTATGAAAGGAGAGTGTGTCCTATAGGCACATTCTTTGTGGGGGTCACCCCGGCACCAAAGCCAGGGATGAGGCCTTTAATCAATGTGCCAAAAGGGATGGAACTTAACTCAACAGAGGCCCTCGTGCCAGGAAGTTTTCACAGCCCGCCCGCGCCTGGCTGACAGAAAACCGTGAGAGTCGAAGCAAAGAATGCAGGGCTGGCCTTACTCTGCTTTGGGCACCCGCTCCCCTCATAAGCCATTGTCCCAGCTGTCTCTAGGGGTGGGGAGGGGGCATGCTTTCCCTCTGGGCTCTGCCTGGATTAGCTGTCCTTCCTCTCCGACTGCCCGGCCAACTCCTGGCTCGTTCCTGAGGACTCGGCTCTGGCGTCTGTGAACCCAGGCTCACGCTTCTGCCCTGCCACCGAACACTCTCTGCCCACCCTCCACACCGTGGAACCACAACTGGCTTGCCTGCAGGAGCTTGGCGGCCCTCAGGAAGCGTCTGCTAAATGACCAAGGGACACGGGGCGCTGGAGGCCCTCCAGAAGAACTCTGTAGCACGAGACTGTCTATCAGAGCTTGCGGGCGTGACCTAGCACGGCCATTTTGAACTTCTTAGGCACTAAAAAAGCCCCTTTCTTTATTCTCTAGAACCCAAGCCATTTGTCTCTAGATTCTTCTTGGTCTGCTCCCAAGGTGCTCTCATCTGGAGGCTTCTTGCCCACACCAGTGTCTTCAGTCCCGGGCCTGCAGCGCCACCCTGCTCACCTCCTGGACGGTTCTCTGCAAATACTTTTGCTAAGTAAATCCACTGACTTTTCCTTCAACCATGGGATTCTTGCTGAATTCTTACCACTTTCCTCAGGCAAAAACAACCCAGAAGTGCTGTCTGATCCAAAGCATTTCCCAGGGAGGGCAGCCAAGTGAGTGCAAGAACCTCTCGGCCGTCTGGGACTGTGATGTGATGTCTGAACAGCCTCTTTAGAAACACTCCAGCCTTTTCCAGGGATGCCATCCAGGCGGGGACACTCCATGTTAGCCCCTCTCAGTTGTCTGGGGATCCTAGGGGTAGACGCAGGAGCGCTGGATCGGGGGATTTAGCCTGGCTGGGCCTCAGCTGGCATGACTGGGTCAGCTGTGAACGAGAAGGGGGTCCAAGCTCCAGTTTGTACCCTTCCACCCCACTGACTTTTTCTGCACCTAACACCCTCCCTGCCCTGCTGCCCTTGGCTGTGACAATGGGAAGCCATGGTCTGAACAGCCGAGGGGGCTCAGCTCGCAGAAGCCCACCACTGGCCCGCCCCCCACCCCACCCAGCACGACACCCCACGGGCCCCTTCCTGAGGGTACCGCCACCATCGCTGGCTGGCCAAACTGCTCTCAGCACTAGTCCATTCCACTTACTCTCCAGGTCCTTGGGAGCTTGAGCTCTCTGGGGCGGTGCCCAGAGTCCACTTGATAGAAAGCTGATTCTTTTCCTGTGGGACAAACAGCTCTGATCAGAACACGTCTGTCAGGGGAGGACTTGGCAGAGCTACAATGCCAGGCTCGGATGCGTCTTTTCTGTGTGATTTCCCAAAATTCAGGCAGGAAAACATGCCTTCCCCCTGAGCAGCCGGCTGCCCCACCGGCATTTGCATCCCGCAACGAGATATAAAAGGAGCCAGTCGCCGGCCCCCAGCGAGGACAAGGCTGTGATTCAAGGAGGCCCCAGTGACATCCCCAGCGTGAGAGTGCAGCTGGGGCGCTTTATGAACAGTGCTGGGTCCCAGGGGGAAGTCGGCCCTGTCCTCTAACCCACAAACGTCTATTGTTCACTTTCTTGTTTGGCTCCAAATGTTTAGATGTGCTCAGAGCACAGAAAAGCCCCCAAACCAGCCATCGGCCAGGGCCAGCCTGAAGCCGGGAAGCCTATGGCTGGAGCTCTGTGGGACCCCTGCCGTCCCCGTTGTTCCCACCTCTCCCTAAGGAAGTGACAGGGTGACCTCTTCCTGGCCGGGGCTATTTGCTCAACAGTGGGTTTGGGTTTCCCCCGCCCCCCCAGGCAAGGTGTGACCGCCCAGACTCACTGGGTTGGCACCAGACACCACTGGCCTTGCTCGTTACCTTGGGGCTGTCCAAAGCCCAAGCAGGAGAGTCTCTCCTAAATCCTCCTCACTGTCAGGGTCTAATGGGAATAACTGAGTGCTGGGCCACTGTCCACGTCAAGAACTTGGGCCCTAAGGTTCAGCGTCTTGGGTTTGACTCCGAGCTCCAGCTCTTAATAGCTGTGCAACCTTGGGCAAGTGACTCAGCCTCTCTGAGCCTCAGTTTCCTTCTCGGTAAAATGACACCTACCTTGTCAAACCATTGTGAATTTAACCAAGTAATCGAGGTAGACACTGGCACAAAATGAGCCCTCAGGAAATACTGGTTATGTCTTACATTATTCTTATTCACTAGTGACCTCTATCATACCGTCCTGAAGCCACCCTCTCTGCCATGAGCACCCACTTTTGCTCCTAAACCGAATACCTTTGACAGCCTCCAGTTGTGGGTCTGAGAACAGCTGTGCAAGACAGACAGTGCCAGAGGAATGAAGGATGAAGTGCCTCATGACATAGGGGAGGAGAGAACGTGCTCAAAAGCCCGTCGCCTCCCCCTCCCCCTCGCCTCAGCCCCAGATCCCTCTGGCCAGGGCTCATGTTACCTGCCCTCCCCCACAGCTGGCGATTCTCTGCCCCACCATGTGGCCCTGAGTCCCGGCCACCCCCAGCCCTGAGCAGAGAGCCCCTCTCCCCTGTGCACCCACCTTAACGTCCACCAATGGCCAACATGGGCGGCAGGGGGGCTAGGGGGACAGAGGTAGAATCTCCAGAAATTTTGCTCGACAAGGCGGTGAGGGATCCAGATCCCGGAAACACCAGCCTCTGAGGGCCTGAGTGCTAAATGCAGTTTAGAAAGGCTTTGCTGTGAAGGGGGCACACAGAGTGCAGAGGGGCAGAGAAGCCAGGAAAGGCAAGAAAGGGTCCTGAGTTCCAGTCCTCCTCCTCCTCCTCCAGATGGTCCACAGCCCTATTTGCAGCTTTGGGACTTCTTCTTCCTCAAAAAACAACACCGAGATGACGGCCCCCCTCTTTGGATTCATTAATCCTTTCAAGAATAAGGCCCTGGGAACCTCCTGACAGGGCCATATGGTTTCCTTATCTTCCTAATCTCCCAGCACTCACCTTCCATTTGGAATGTTTATCCCAAGATAACGATCAGATTCCACTTAGGGTGATTGAATGGGGGCCTCCTTCGAGTTGTTCCCCTCTCCCCATTTCAAATGAACAGAGGACCCAATCCAATAATAAATGAGCCAGGCCAGGTTCAGAGAATGGATAGGGCTCCTCCCCCGCTCCCAGCCTCCTCTCCCTACAAATATCCCCCTCTCTCACCTGAGCAGCCCCACTGATAGGTGCTTTAGATAGCGGAGTTCTGTGTACAATTGCTGTTGACCAAAGTATAACTGCCATAAACAGTGTTCTAGAAGGCAAAGATCTGATCCAAGACGTGCACTTTTTGATACAAAGGTAATGCAGGCCACAAAGACAAGCCGATACGCAATTTTAGATTTGTAATAGCCACATTGAAAAGGTTAAAAATGGGGGCACCTAGCTGGCTCCGTCAGCGAAGCAAACGACTCTTGATCTTGGGGTTGGAAGTTTGGGTGTAGAAATGACTTAAAAATAAAATCCTTTAAAAAAAAAGTAAAAATAAACAGGTGAAATTAATGTTAAAAATACATTTATAAGTATTATTACTTATAATATATATCTAATATAATGATATATTTAATTGAGCCCCAAAATATCATTTCAACATGTAATCAATATAAAAATGATCTGTGAGGTATTTCATGTTTGCTTTTTTGTACTTAGTCTTCAAAATCTGGTGGGTGTATTATACTTGTAACATGCATCGATTCAGACTGGCCACACCCCAGTTGCGTGTAGCCTGCTGAGATGGGCGGCTGATGTACTGCTGGGGATCTAGCTAGACTGTGCTAAGACACCTGGGCCAAGGACAATTGTTACGGGCTGCATGACGATCACTAGTGAGCTGGCTGCCCGAGAGCCTCTGTGAAAAGATGAGCAATCCATAACTTTGTTCCCAATCTAAACAGAAAGCCAGACCTCATCTTCCTACCCCTCCGAGGCTTCCCCCTCCCAGGAAGGAAAACACGCAGAGATGACAATTTTGTTAAAAATTGGTGGTAATTGCAGGATGCCTGGGCGGCTCAGTCATTAAGAGTCTGCCTTCGGCTCAGGTCACGATCCCAGGGTCCTGGGATCGAGCCCCACATCGGGCTCCCTGCTCTGCAAGAAGCCTGCTTCTCCCTCTCCCACTCCCCCTGCTTGTGTTCCTGCTCTCGCTGTCTCTCTCTCTGTCAAATAAACAATAAAAAATCTTTAAAAAAAACAACTGGTAGTAATTGTGATTGATGCAAATTTAATGTTAGTCATTTCACTTGCTAATAAAATTGTTCATTGACGCTTTTCCTGTAGGCTGTTCAAAGCTGAAGATGGTGCCACTGGGCATCAAGCAGCCATGCGGTAGGCTCTGCTGTGCTTTGAAGAGGGGGAGGCCTGGCTGGAGTAGACAGAGCCAGATCACCAATGCCAATGGGTGCTCGCTGATTCCAGGAAAGGGGAGACACAATTCGGACATTGATGGGACAGCCGGGCAGAGCTCCCACTAGTCATTCAGACACCATATTTAGATGACCGTTTGTGTTCTGGACAGGGCAAGAGGCCTGGGCCTGTGTTTGGTGATTCGTGTGTGCATGCTTGGTTCCTCCTGCCCGGTGAGTCTTCCATGAGTCTTCCATGAGTCTGCTCCTGCTGCAGCAGAGTTATGCCCAGTGCCTCCCTGGCTCTCAAGGTCAAGGTCAACATGATCCAAACAACGAGAAGGATGGGAAGGGAGGCCTCTGGCAAAGCAGGAGGATGTTAGAGAGGCCAGTCCTGAACCCCACATGGAAGAAAGGTGGGGAGCACGTTCCAGGCCTCCTGGGGGAGGCCTCCCCAACCACCCTGTGTCAGAGCTGCTCTCTGACCCTTTCTGCTTATGTTTCCCTCATAGTACTTACAGTCCTTGACTGTTTTTCTTTGCTGACTGCTGCCCTCAGTTTTGTTCCTTGCTTCACTCCAGCGCCTAGAAGAGCGCCTGTCACTCTCCATAAACATTTGCCGACTGAACACACAGTGCAAGAAGCTTGTGCCAAGATGCCAGCCCAGGCCCGAAAGAGCCGGGAGCTCAGGAATAGCAAGAGGAGGGAAAGGAGCCTGTAGGAGAGGCAGAGAGAGGAATGGCGTGGGGACTGAGGGGGAAACGAGGATGCACAGAGAGGTGGTGGTCTGTGTGTGCGATTCGCCCGGTAACGGGAGAAACGGCAGAGCAAACGTTGGAAAAGTGGAGGAATGTGACTGCAGCACAAAGTCAGCAAGATTAGTTTGTCAGCAACATTTGGATCCCATTGGTGATGAGAGACATGTGGGCCCGGCAAGGAGACAATTGTGGTAGTCAAGACAGGATGTGAATAAGACATAAAGAAGTGTTTCATCAGTGGGGATGGAAAAGAACCAGGGCTGCAGCAGCCAAGTCAAGGAGAAGGAAGGCTCGGCCCCAGTGTTCCCGTGCGCCGCCTCGGTACGCTCCACACACGTGTGCACACTCACACACACGCACAGGCGGCCCACGAGGAGTGTTCACGCGCAGGCCCCCCTCCCACATTCCAGCTAACTGCAAGCCCCGCTCTCTGCTTCAGTCTCTGGTCTTTGTCTTCTGTTTGCTTCTTCCCGTGGCCGCCAAGGCAGCAGCCCTGTGGGCAAGGAGAAGGGCAGGACCGAGAAACTCCGGAGGAGGCAGTGTTTTCTCCATCAACGAGGACTGCTTCTGGCTAATTTGGGAGGGAAGAGCGCTTGAAGAAGGTTGCAAGGTCCCCAGAACAGCAAGGAGAGAAAAGCCCCAGCAAAGGAAGGCCCAGAAGAGGAGAGAAATCTTCCCTTGAACATGGCCAGGGAGGGCAACTGTTCACGGACATCTACCACACGTTCACACATGTGTGGGCCACATGAAGGATCTGAAATGGAGACTGGGACCCGGAGGAGGCGAACGGCTTCTCGTTAGGAGTGGGTGGGGACGCGCTCAGGGATCCAGCTGAAACAGGACTTTATTTTTAAAGAGACTTAGATTGATGTCTCTGCTGGCCTAAATATAAATGAGCAGACAACTTCTTCCCAGCCGGGCCAGGCCTCCGAGCGAGCTCCCAGACCCTGTGTTCAAAAAGAAAAAAAGAGAGAGAGTGCATGAGGGGGAATCCACAGATGCAAAAGGTCACACAGCCAGCCCTGTGAGTGTGTAGGGAGGAGGAAGACGGATGAGCTGCAATCCCCCGGCCTCACCCTGAAGGAAGAAAGATGGAGGCTTGTGGGAGCAGGGGAGGGGGCTCTGGCTGGCCCAGGGGTGACAGTGGGGACCCACGCTTGTGCTCAGGGAGCCGACAGTCCGGTGGGAAGGAGCACACGCGCCTGCAATGGAGGGCAGCGACTGAGGGCCCTGGGTGACACACAGGCAGAGTGAGGTGGGCGTTCCTCAGTCCG